TTCATTTTTAAAAGAATAATTAAAAAAATATATATATATACCTATAATTTTATATATATATATAGTAAGTATATTTTTTTATTAATGCAGAAAAGAATTTAACTATATTTATTATTATACAGAGTGTCTGGAAATAATCACCAAATATTTCATGGGCAGGTAGAGCGGACTAAACTGAGTCGAAAAGTTCTCTACCATTTTGTAAATTTCCCCAATAGTTAATGAGATATTAATCCTTAAAGATAACTGAATATGTGCGCTCGTCCGGCCTACTACTTCGAAGTGTATACGCCTACCGATCGCTTGGCGCGGGCCTTGGGAATTGGAGATTGGCTGGCAAGCGCCTCGCGCCGCGCGCACCGTCGCCATAGTTCGGACGGCGCGCTTGCCAGGCTATCCCCGCTCCCCATGGCCCGCCAAGCGATCGGTAGGAGTATACTCTTCGCAGTAGTATTCGGCTATGTTTAAGGATTAATATCTCGTTAACTATTGGGGAAACTTACAAAATGATAGAGGATTTTTTGACTCAGTTTAATCCGCTCTATCTGCCCATGAAATATTTGGTGATTATTTTCGAGACACTCTGTATATGTAGTATCATTCAACTATACTATCTCATTTTACAGCTTATTTTACAGCTCTGCGAGTAATGAAGTGGACGATGATAATAAATAATAATAAAATATAAACATAATCAAAATACATGCTTTAAACAATTAACATTTGTACAAAACAAAATTTTTGTAGTTGTATTATATAGTATAGTTATACTAAAATATATAAATATTATTTCAAGAAATTCTTTATTTAATTAAAAAGTAATAATAATAAATTAAAACAAAAGTAAAAACTAATTAAAAACTTGAAACATATAATAAATTATTAAAAAGTACATATCATTAATATTTTAATATCATTAATTACATATCATTAATATGTATGTAAAAATATAATATAAAATTATTTTTTTATTTCTTATTATTGATTTTTCTTATATAAAATTATTTAATATTGAAAAATTAATATACAGAATGTCCATAATTCAGTTCAGTCCGCTCTACTTGCTCACGACGAGCGATTCTACTAGACTATAGATTTCTATACAATATATAAACTGACTTGCTTAATTAAGAACTGTTATAAAGGATTAATGTGAATATATCACAAAATGAATTTCATTCTTTAATAAATTATTTGACAAAATAGCTATTATAAATACACTTCCTCGTTCTCATTAAAATAATTATTTTATTAATTTGACACGAGTATCTTAATTTTGCGTGTATAATATAAGTAACCTACATGCAAGATATGACATGCAAGTAATTTTTCTGACAATGCCCTGTCATAAAAATCATCACAGTTGCGCGGTTACCTGAGAATAAATAAACCTAATAATTGCCGATCCTCCAAATGTTAAGACCTCAACCTTCAGTTGTATAAGTAACATAAAGAATCTATTACAACTGATATACCTTAGTAGTTGAAACTTTTCAATCGCAGC